GGGGGGGGGGGCCGGGCCCCCCCCGCTCGGTCTGGTTCTGCCTTGCCCCCAGCGAGGTGGAGGCGCAGCCCGGCTGGGTCGGTGTAGCCCCGGCCGGGTCTTCCCCTGGCCGGAGACTCCCCTAGGGCGCCAGGTGACTGTGATATGCACAGGTGGGGGCAGGGTAATGCTACCGCCCGTGTTCATGTCAATACCCACGTAGGGGTTTGCAGTATAAATGCCCAAGAGCTGAGATGATGCAGAGTTTTAAACAAAAATGATACAAGATGAATTATGCAGAATCCCTCATGAAAGGCTCTCAAAGCGCTTTACAAACATTAAACTTCAGCACACTAGACTGCCCCCACGGATGGGTGTCCCCATTTTACAGATTGGAAAACTGAGGCACAGAGAAATTAGATAAAACAACGAGGAGTCCTTGTGGCACCTAAGAGACTAACACATTTATTTGGGCCTAAGCTTTCGTGGGCTACAGCCCACTTCATCAGATGCATGGAGTGGAAAATACAGTGGCAGGTATAAATACACAGCACACAAAAAGATGGGAGTTGCCTCACCAAGTGGGGGGGGGGGTCAGTGCTAACGAGCCAATTCAATTAAGGTGGAAGTGGCCTATTCTCAACAATTGACAAGAAGGGGTGACTACCGAGGGAGGGAAAGTTACTTTTGTGGTGCTAACGAGGCCAATGCAATCAAGGTGGCCCATTTCCAACAGTTGACAACAAGGTGTGAGTATCAGCAGAGGGAAAATTACTTTTGTAATGCCCCATCCATTCCCAGTCTTTATTCAGGCCTAATTTGATGGTGTCCAGTTTGCAAATTAATTCCAGTTCTGCAGTTTCTCGGCAAAATTAGAGGAGTTTAATCCCAGCCTGCCCGGTCCATTGCCATGTTGACAATAGAGAGACTAGAGCCGTGCAAACGATCACGAGCCCACAAACAGAACTAGAGAAGACACTTTGTTCTGACTTAGGGAGTCAGTGCAACCAGCGAGCAGCTGTTAAGGTGCAGCGACTACTTCTAGGGTCAGGGTTTCAAGCACTGTAGATGGGTGGGAGCGCTTATGGTGAAGCACTGGGAAAAGAAATAGGGAGGTTGTGGAATCTCCATCTCTGGAGATATTTAAGAGTAGGTTAGAGAAATGTCTATCAGGGATGGTCTAGACAGTATTTGGTCCTGCCATGCGGGCAGGGGACTGGACTCGATGACCTCTCGAGGTCCCTTCCAGTTCTAGAATCTATGAAATGTTAGGTGAACTAAAACGGCAGATGGTTCTAGGGAGCCCTGCTCTTAGCCGACAGGTAGAGGAGTGGAGATTCTACAGCAGCCACAGGGCGAGGGTCATGCGTTGGAGTATAGCTCCATCATTAAGATGTGGTGGATTTTATTCATTTGCCCAGAATGAAGCTCAGCGTGGATGTGAATCCAGCTATTATACTGCAGCATCACAGTAGCAGGAAAGTTCAGTCCAAGCAAGAGAAGTGTAAATTTCATAGCCCTGAGAACGCCCACCTAGCTTCAGAGGAAGGACATTATCTATTAGCAGCTACTCATTCCTCAGCGCTTGGCTGTCAGCAGCCCCACCTGCAGCTGGACCGTCCGACAGCAACTGCTCACGGTTCATCAGAAAGGCCAGCGCACCTCCCCGCAGAGGCAGGATGTTCGAACGACCTGTATTGCAGTTTGGCTAAGACAGCAATGTTCTTCCTTTTCTCCCCCGCCTCCACGGCGTAGCAATTGAATACAGGGTTATTATGCACTGAAGGGGTGCATAATTTAAGTGATGGCAACCAAAGAAACTCAGACTTAGACCTCACCAACCCACGTTCCCATCCTGGCCCGAGGGACGGTTCACTGACGGGCTGGAACAAGCAGCAAATCAATTCCTTTGTGCTTTCTTCCACACCACTCCTGTGCAGGACGGGCTCTCTACGAACAACCCCAAAGTAGGTCATTGGCCTCCCTCACCGCCCTCCTAAGAGTTCGCTTTTGGTTGTAGGCATGAGGACAAAAAAATAAATGAATCTTGTGCTGAGGTGTTGAGAGCACTGCCTGTCATGCTGACCAAGGCTCCGTGTTTCCTTCTACACCCCTCTCCGTCGTCACCTGGCGGCTCGTCTTATGCTGACAGTGTCCGCTTTTGGGGGAAGGGCTCCCCCTTCGGTTCTGTGTTTGTACAGTAGGGTCCTGCTCCATGGAGGGGGAGGGCTCCTAGATACTACAATCATAGAAACAAGGAACAATAAGCTAGGCAGGTATATTGTAACGGCCCAAGCCGACTGATTCAGGTTTATACATTCATTCATGCTCTTAAAAACCAGGTTCCCAATACAAAAGACGGGGGCTAGAGTCGTGCCAAAGGCTGGATTAGAGGAGCGGACGTGTAGCTACGCACTAGCGCTAGCAAGTGACAGAATGGCCTTGGGCTCTAAAATAGCCTCTGGGAGTTTTCACATTCCTGCCAGCTCACTGATTCTTCCCCCATCTCCCAGAGACCAACTTCTCTTGAGTTTGGAATTGGGCCATGAATCATTCCAAACAGTGCAAAGGACTTTCACAGCCACCCACACATCCGCCCACCCTGCTGGCAAGGAGCTGCCTTCACTTTCACATCTAGAAAAAGGCCCAGGGGCTGGGAGGGGTGGAGGCCAGTGGTGTAGGAGAGGTTATAAAAACATGAAGAATAGAATCAAGGGAAAGGCTGAAAGGGGAGGCACTTGTGAGAGGAGCGAAGCAGTGGTGAAAACTGAAGAGTAGGGTCTGAAGCTGCTTATGACTCCGCCGCTGGCTAGGAGCTCACTAGATAACAATGGAGCCTGCTGTAGAGAATCATCATCTCACAACATGACACAGAACCAAGGTCACACTGGCTGGGCCGCTGTTCTGCTCACTCACCACTGCCGGATCCTCCAGCCAGAACCCCCCCAGGAGTGCTGGGTGAAGGTGGATTTGGATCGTGTCTCCCAGACCTCGCTGGCCTGTCACTCTTCATGCCAAGGCTCATGCTATCACCAAGCAGGCTCCCTCTGGCTCCAAGAAGGGCCGGAGAACTTTTAAACGCAGGTTTTAGGCCTTCGGGCACAGCTCTTGCCAGCTGGCTCGTGAGGTGTGGATTTGTAGCACTGCATGTTTTCCAATCTCACCCTGTAACCAGTCACACTTTCCATGGGGCCTTCAGGCCAGGAAGTTAAGGCGGGGGAGAGAACATTTTATCTCCATTTTACAGATGGGGAAACGGAAGCACGGAGAAGGGAACAGACTTGTCCAGGGGATCTATCCCCACAGGTATTGCTGGTACCTACCTACCACACACAAGCCAGGGGACACGTCACTTGTCCAGCATTTCGCTCAGAAATTTCTATTTGTGTGCCCCCAAATCCCTGATACATATATTTCCCCCTCAACCTTCCTCCCCCTACCCGCACTAGCTCTGAGTACACAACAGCTACTGTGTTTCGTAGTACATGGAGTCCCAGCCGAAGCTAGGGAGTCGGCTAATAAATGCCTTTATTCGGTCAGTCGAGTTGTCTCCCTTCCTGGCAGCTTCTGAAAATGCAGGAAATGAAGCTAGTGACCCAGGGTCCCCATCTCATCTGCAGCCTGCCTCCTTGGGCCATTAGCCTACCAGCAAAAAAAGCCACCATAGCTCTCCAGGCAGGACACAGCAAGGGCCACTCGTGGGCATATGCTGATTTACCGCCCTGCCAGCCCGTTAACCCCCCCATTGTTCAAAGCTTCCTGGTGTGAGCATGTTCTGAGCGTGCCCCAACACCTGGCTGGCAGCAGCGTGGGAAGGATGCTCCAATGCACCGACAGCTGCGCCACCTCCTCTCTCCCGTTTGTGCAGACGAGTTCGTGCCCCACCCCCTTCGCTAGGTGTTTTGGTCTCACCCCCCTTGATGCTGGCTGCGGGGGGACAGACGGCTTCCAACGGGTCTTTGCTGCGGCAGAGCCTTTCTGTGCTTGGAGCCCAGTCAACACGCACTGGGCGGAACCAGCAGAACCTGGGCCTAATGTCCAAGCCCTTCCCACCCATTGGGAAGGCCTGGCCCAAGGCCAAGGAATTGCATAAGGAAGTTTTGGTGTGGAGTCGGCACAGCATGATCCCGGCTGGACCAGAGTCAACCTGGCACCCCTAAGCCCATCGATACTCTACCGCCGGCTCCCTGCTTTGCCACACCCAGGCACGGGATTCACCTCCTAAAATGCAGGTGGGTTTTGCCTTGTGCCAGTCTACCCTGGCACTTCCTAGGGCTGCCCCCCCTTTGAATGCGGCAAGGCAGGCCGGTTACCCGCAGGGCACGGAGCCAGAGCTTGGCACTGGAGACGTTCACAGCAGCACCAGAAATAACAGAGCCACTGGGCACAGCATGGCCAAGCCGGCCAAGCTCTGCTCTCCTGGCTACCCAGCGGTGCGTCCCCATCACTGTAGGGCGTAGGTCCGCTGTCCCCCTGCCACTGGGCGTAGGCGCCATGCCCTGTGCACTCCCCGTCCTACTGGTGAAACGGTCACCTTAGCATGGGACAATGCTAGACAGCCAGGCAGCTGGTAAGGAAAGCACGAGACTGCTTACCCACAGTGCCGGTCAGCAGAGCTGGGCCTACGCCTCAGGGACAGTCACAGCACAGCCCACTCCTCCGGCCAGGAGATGGCCGAGGCGGCACAGGAGCTAACCCAAGGTGCAGGGTGGCTGGTGTGTTTGCCTGCAGCCCTGCCAGGTGCCACGGCAGCCCATACAGTTTGTTTTGGCCACCAAGGGCTCCCGCAGACTAGGGAGGCCAATGCATTCAGGCTGGCCTGCAGCGTAACTCCCAGCACCAGGGACAACTTCTTAGGTCGATTTCTCTCTTTTCAGAAGCCACAACAAAAGCACAGCCGCTTACACGACTCTGCCCCCAGCAAGTCCGCTCCACGCTCAGCTACTTCAATCTCTTTATTCATGTAATCGCCTTACTGGGCACCAACAGAAAAGATACGACGGCACATTTGTAACTATTACATTGCCCAGCATCACCAGAGTGAGACCTGGAACCTAAACTGCCATATGCCAAGTCCCTTTGAGCTCCCGGCTCACTGGAGTAACTGACTGGGACTTCCCCACTGCTAACACAGGGGCTTCCGGCTGCTCCCCAAAGGCAGCCAGGGCTTGGCGCTGGATACAAAGAGCCAGCAAGCAGCTCACACATTCACAAAGTGTCTACGTGTGTAAAGCATGTGGCATCCTGAGGGATAATCGGGTGCGAGAGGAAGGCGAGAGGGGGTAGGATGGTGGCAGTGGGGGAGAGGTGAGGGGACAGTCTGCTTTACGCATTTCCAGCAGTAGTTCATGGGTTTCCTTTCTCCTCCTCGCTGCTCTCCTTCTTGACCTCCTCGTAGACAGCCTCCGCCTCCTCGCCTCCCTTCTCCGCTCCCTCCGCCGTCTTGGCATTCGGCACCCAGAGCCCAGAATCGATGCAGCGCTGCATGTGGTACTTCGCTTCCTGGAACGCAGACAGCGCATGGGGGCTAAGGGAGGTTAGCACAGCACTCGCTCCACGGGTCTCTGCTTCCTCCCAGAGCTGCCCAAACCCACCTCCATCCCCTGCAAGACACTGCACTGCAGCCTTCAGCCAATGGCTCATTGCCACTGGGTTGGCTGGAGATCAGTGACTTGGGAAGAAGCCAATAGCTACACAGGAAGATGCGTTAATGTGCCTGGGAACGGACCCCAAATCACAGCAACAGAAAGCTGATGGCTCTTCTCCTGTGCCTCAAGAGCCAGGCACTCTAGGCCCCATGTCCTCCCCACTCAAGGGATACTCACAGCAGGCTCCATTTTGCTGATTGCATCCTGCAGCATCTGAACGTCTTTCGAATCGAAACACTTTTGCAGCTCCTGGGGGAGGAGAGGGCAGCCTGGTGAGCGGGTCTGGGACAGGGCCCCTTCCACGGCCCCACGCAATGGACAGTGCCTAGGAGCTCACACCTCAGCTAGGATACAAGGCCTAGGAAGGCAGTGGAGGCACTCCGCAGTGACCCGTCCATGCCCCAGGGCATGGAGAGGAATACCACCTTGCCCATTTCCCTTGGAGGGTGATGCAGTGGCCAGGGCACTAGCCTGGGGTCTTGGAAGACCTGGGTTCATTTCCCTGCTCTGTCAGACTTGGGCAAGTCACAGTCTCCCTGTGCCTCAGTGCCCCACCTGTAAAATGGGGATAGGGCTTTCCGACCTGGGGGTGTGGGGAATAAACCATCAGACAGGCTAGGGAGTGGGAAGGAAACCCCTTTAAGTAGGAGCCGGGATGCGAGATCGACACCAGCTGCTCTAGCTTAGAGCGCAGTGATCAGGCTACTCACAGCCGGGAGGGATTCGTACACCTCCACGGGATCCAGCCCGCCCGGGCCCAGCCGTTTCTGCCGCTCCTCCTCTTCATACTCTTTCATGGCTTTCTCGATGCGCACCTTGGCACGGCCTCTCACCCGCTCCTTGAAGGCCTCCAGCTCATCGGTGAACCCCTCCATGTACTGCTGATCGGCCGTCTGCAACGAGCAGGGAGAAGCAGGGTAGCAGAGTTAGAGGCCAGACTGTTAACGAAGAAGGAGCCGAGATGGCACAGGATCCAGCCAGGCACGTGAGACATGGCTGAACCCAGATTACGCACCAGTGTAGCCACACCCCCATTTAGTCAGGCTAATTGCAGGGCTGGGAGGAGGGGAAGTGCTGCTATTAGCCCACGTGCGTCCTTCATTAAAAGCCACCTGCTGTAGGAGGACGGAAGGCTCAGAAGCATTTGTAACAGAGACATTCTCTCCTCCTGCAGTGTCCCCACAACCCATTGCTGTGGGAGTGAGCACAGCGCCACAAATACACAGGCAGGCGATGGCAGAGCACAAGCAGCAGGTGGCACGAGAAAGTCCAGCTAGTAGGAGGGATAAAACTGACAGTCCAATGTGTTCTCTGAGCTCGGGGCCCTCCGGGCACAGAGCTCTCAGGAGGCAGCTCCCCAAGTGTCTTTCAGATGGCCCAGCGACAAAGGAGAAGGATCTGCAGCTTTAGCTATTAGCCACAGCAGTGACCCCAGCCACAACTCCCACTACTGGGCATGGGAAGCTGGGCAAAGTCAGACTGTATTTAAACCCCACTCCTGAGTGGGCCTTGGGCCCCCTCTCTCCAGCGAGGGCAGACTGAGAATGAAGAAGGATGCCACCAAGTGGTATCGGAATGGCCAGACCGGCTCAGACCTAAGGTCCACCTAGCCCAGTAGCTTGTCTCTGACAGTGGCCAGAATTGGAAGCTGCAGAGGACAGTGTAGACGTGGGGTAATTTGCCTCGTGAAGGTCTCGTCTTAACTTCTAACAGAGGTTGTCTCACACCCTGAAGCAGGTTTGTATCCTTAGCAGTAACTGTTAGAATTTGGGATATTCCAGGAATCCGTGTGTCCATTTCCCCTGGGAATCTTGCTAAGTTCCTGACCTAACCAACACTCCGCGGCAGCGAGTTCCACACTGTCCACCGCATTCCTCCGGACTGCAGGCCACCTGTGAGAGGAGGAAATGGGGAGAAAACGGCTCAGCTGAAGGGGACTTGGAACTCACCTTGATTTTGGTGAAGAACTGTCTGAAACAAGCTCTGGGGTCCACCTTCAGGCTCTTGGCCAGCTCTAGGATGAACTGCATCACGATGGTCTGGTGGGCGACCTGCTCCATCAGGGCGTGTTTCTAGGAGGTGGAAGAGAAAGGCGCCTGTGGCTCTAAGCACTGCGCTGTGCGGTGCACGGCCAGCAGAGGGCGTGCTCACATTCCAACAGACCCCGAGACGCCAGCTGCTGCAGCCTGGCCCCTTGTTACTCAGGGTGCAAGTGGAAAGAGGACACTGGCTGGCCAAGAGTCCACTGCAGTCTGAGCTCTTGGCCCATCCCCCTCCAGACTCAGCTGCCAGGATTTCTCAAGTGTCAGCGCCATCTTTAAGCAAACGGAGGAAGCCGTCTTTGAAGGACACTGGCTCCCAGGAGGGCAGCTGGCCACAAGACAACCAAGGCTGACTCAGGAAGAGAACGAGCTGCTAGTGGATCAGATGAACGGCTGCTGGAACAACAGTACTGACGGGGGAAACTAATGTACTAGAGTGGCATGGAGCCACCTGGGTACAAGCTTTCCAGGTCTCGTTCCCCCAGCACGGGCTCGCTATGCCATGAGGTGTCCATTAGGGAAGGGACTCTAATGGGAAAGAGCTTGGCCCACCTCAAACGTGAATGGGCCAGAACTCAGCAGGGCACACGGGATTGATCCCTGGCTGCTCTCAGCATTTCAGGCTGCAGTCACAACTCCTGGCGAAACAGCAGCCTCACCTCTTCCACTTCCAGATCAATGCACCAGATGACCAGGTAATTGGCGGTCTCTTCACACACCAGATGCGGGTTATCAGATAGATACTTCTGGCTGTCGTCCCAGCGCCGCAGCATCCCTTCAAAGCAGGAGAGCCACAGTTAGCAGCAGACAGTCACCTTGCCACACGGTCAGCGAGAAGAGCCCACCCACCAAGCTGTTGCTCACCGTTTCGAGCGGAGCCTGGACAGGGCTAGAGAGGATCAGTGGCACTTTAGGAGGCAGGATTACGCCTGCTGGAGGGGAAAGATGGTGGTGTGGTCAGGGCACTCGCCTGTGACTGGGAGACCTTGGTTCAATTCCCTCTTCTGCTCCAGGTTGTGTGTGAGACCTTGGCCAAGACACTTAGTCTTAGGTATTTAGATAAACACCCGGGAGGATCTGGGCCTTTGTACCTCAGCTCCCTATCTGTGCAGCTGGGCCAGCAGCTCTAGGCTGCCTCAGGCGAGGCTCTGTTGGTATCTGAGCACCTCACCATCTCCAAGGTCAAGGGGCCACCTAAGTACCTAGGACAGATCAAACATGGGACAGAGTTTTGGATTAACTTCTCCTCCTGGCTGCATTTCACAACAACAGGCCTAATGACAGCAGGGCGCGCTGTCTTTAGATGGGGTGGGAGGGTGGGGAACGAGAGACTGGGACAGGAACGTTGTAGGAATTTAACCGAAGAACACCCAGCTGAATTTGCCAAGCATATTTATTAGAGGCCTATGACTTTGGTATCCAAGCAGCAGGATTATGAAGGCAGAATCCACTACAGGACCTGATGATGTGGCAACACAGAGCTAACCTGCTGACTCACCTGACCCATCAGACCAAGAGGGTCTCATAAGAAAAGACGGGTCTGTGGGGAGGCACTAGACTGGGACTCAATAAATCTGGGGTCATTTCTTGGCTCCGCCAGACTCTCCACGTGACCCTGGCTAAGTCACTTCATCCCTTTGTATTTGAGATCCACATCTGTAAAATGGGGATAACACTTCCCTACCGCACAGGATTGTGGGGGGGACAGATGTGCTAGTGCTGAGCTGCTCCAGAGTTCTAGTGAAGGGCACCTGAGAAAAGCTCCAATTCAGGACTATGAAGGTAGTGAAGAGTTAGGAGGAGGCAGAGAAGGTCCAGCAAAGTCGGGGGTGGGACTCAAGAGAAGAGTCGTTCAGGAGAGAGCCTACATGCTACAGCTGGATGTTGGTTGGTACAGTCCTGCAGTAAGGCTTTTGAAGTGAAGTAAAGGATAAAAGCAAGCCCCAGGAGTGGGATGTGTTAGGAAATCACTGGCTTATTGGTGCCTTTTACACATGGATCTGAAAGGAGTTCCACAGGTAGGGACCCCCAGTGGAGAACACTCCGCTGCCCCACACCCGACACATTGAACATGGGTCTCTCCAGCTGCAGGTCTTTCCGTTCTAAGTCTACAGCAGGGGAGAAGACGGGTATTGCGGACATGACCCAGATAGCAGGGAATCCAACTATGTTGTGATCACTTCCCTCACCCTGCTGTGAGAGTCTCACCCAGCCTCGCTAAGCCAGAGCCCTTTTCTAAGTCAAGAGGAACTTTTGAAGCTTTCATCCCCTAGACTGCCCGGGAGCCCTGTGCTTGCAGCCAGCTAACTCACCAAAGTGTTTGATCTGCTTCTCGTACTTCTCCACAAACGTCTTGTGTTTCTTCTCTTTTTGTTCCTCCGATTCGTCCTCCTCTTCAGGTTTGACGTTGACAACACTCTGCAGAGAGAGAGAGGAGCCTGGTTCGTGGCACTGCTGCATGGCCAGCTGTGGTTCCACCACGACAGCTCTGATGCCATGTTCACAAGGCAGCTTCCTCAGCCAGAAACCCACCCTGCTCCTTCCCCTCCCCAGGCACCATTCAGACCAACCTTGCTGAAGCCGTCTTTGCTCAGGGTGTCCACGTTCCAGGGCATGTTCTTCTCCTTCTTCCTCAGCTCCTCAATCTTCTTTTCCCAGCTCTTCTCTTCTTTTCTCAGCTGCTGTGCTTCGGCCTGAAGTCTCTGCAGCTCCCCTTTCCCGCTCTCCGCGTCTGCCACCTCCAGCTCCTTCATTTTCTTCTGGCACTCGGCTAGTTTCCGTTTGCATTCCCTGCACCCTTTATCCAGCTCTTCTTTCTCCTTCTGGAACTGCTCCATCCTCTCCACTCGGGCCTGCAGAGATCAATTTACAGCTTTTTTAAAGCACTCTTCAACACTTGCTCTTGGAATAGAAGAGCCAACTGATCCACTGGCAAAGAGGAGAGTACCGACAGTCTGAGTAACAGTGGGAACCCCTCTCCTTGCCTCATGTCCCACACCCAAGAGATGATCGTTGGGCTGATACTGTTCTGTTAGATCCTAACGGACATGCTGAGCTGCGTGGGTCACACCAACAGGACAGTATCTTCTATGCCAGAGAAGGGTTAGCCTACATGTACTATCATGCTTCCCAACTCGTCGATTTTTTGCTTAATCCCAATATCACCAAGTGTGTGGCTAGTTTCTTGCCTCTGTAGAGAGCTGAACTCTCAACCTCTCACTCATTGCAACTAGCCTATAGGAGCTTTATGGTTTAATCAGACTTTTTAGCAGTCTCTCTTCAATGCTGCACTGACATTCACACACAGTCACCCTGTGCTGCTAAATGAGAGCTCAGTACCACTTAGTAGTTAGAGTTTCTCGAGGGCTTGGCACATCTGCAGAGACTCCAGTTATGCTTGGCAGAGCACGTGATGCAGGAAATCAGTGTTAACCCAGGAGCCGCAGCAGCGACTCTGTAGGAGAATGAACGTTCCTCTCCTCTGCAGTATCAATTTGTATTAGCTGAAAATTAAGAGGTGGAAGAGTCCTATTGATCCCCACGTCATCCACCCTCGCAGGGCAGGGCAGGGCTGTTCACTACTGTACAATCTTTTGGGCTTTGTGTAATCTAGCTGCAACTGTCTCAAGCAATGGAGTTTCTACCACCTCCCTTAGGCTCACAGTGTTGGAGATTCCCTTGATCTTCAACTCAAACTTGCCCCCTGTTCTGTTTCAGTCGGTGTGTCCTAGCTATAGGCATCCTAATGCTGCCTTCCTTCCAGAGACCCGACAGTTAACTACTGAACACGTTTGCTGTGTTTCACAGTCGGGGTTTCCCTTACAGGCCAATGTTTTCAAGAGGGTTCTAAGATCCTTAGGATTTTGTTTGCTGTTGATTGGACATGGCTCTTGTTGTGGCTGTTGGGAGAACAATTTCTTCCTCCTCTGAGCCTGGAAAACAAAAGCTGAATTCCCATTTTCTTCTCCATGTGGAGAAAAATATCTATTTCTCCACACAGAGCAGAGATCCTTCCTTCCTTCCTGTGCATAACATGCTAGTCTGGAGGGAGAACACCCGAGCTGAGACAGTTACTCACACTGCACATGCGCTCTCAAAGTAGGGATGCACAACACTCAGGGAAGGAAGGTTTTAACAAGATCACGGTTTATTTCGCCATTGTCTCCCAGTACTTATGTAGTGCTTTAGATTACCAAAACACTCCTCAATTAACCACCAAAACTTCAGCTCCCCACGTCGCAGCTCCCTCTAACAGGTATTATCCCCATTTTACAGATAGGGAAACTGAGGGAGGGGAGTGAAATGAGTTGCAGAATCATTATTGGACCTCAGCATCGCACTCCCTGCTCGGATCCCTGGAATTCCCAAGGGAAGAACAAAAGGCAAAGTGCACTGCCTGCATTCTAGGACCTTTGAGAGACCAATCTATCTTGGTATCTATACCACATATGCAGCAGAGGTGAAAAGCCCCCATCTTATCCAGAATAAAACTGTATTTTCCCCAGGGTTTGCCACTCAAACAAGATCAGAAGTCCCTGAGCCAACAGGGTGGGTTCCCAGCCCCAATAAATGGTGACGGACCAGAAACTAAGCCTTTGCATTCACACACTACAGCCAGAGCTCATTTATTCCCCAAGGAAGGCAGGTAAGGCTGACTCAATGCCTCATCTGTTAAACTGGAACCAGTTACAAATACATGGGGACTTAGCACATGCCTTACCACACCTGCCTGTCTGAGGCTTTAGTCTGCTGGCTAGTGTCCACCACAGCTCCTAAAGTACCCGCGCACTGGCGTTACTGGTATCAGAGTCAGTTAAGGCCATGACATTGGTTTTCCTTTCTGTTGGCTCCCAAGTCCAGAGTGACTGTGGTGGAGAAAGTTACTGGGAGACTGAGGAATGGATTTCTGCCCAGACAGCTTCCTGCAGTTTCACAAGAGAGAACATGGAGACAGTAAGCCCCAGGGTTTCCTCTTGGACTCGCAGTCAGGACTCCGGAGTTCTAGTCCAGACACTACTACTGCCTTGCTGCACCATCGCAGGCGATTCCCTTCCCTGCTTCGTGCCTCAGTTTCTCTTTCTGTACTAAGGGGATATAAATCAGCCCTCCACTGGAGGATCACAGAGATCTCTTGATAAAAAAAAAATCATAGAAATATCAGGCTGGAAGGGATCTTAAGAGGTCACCAAGTCCAGCCCCCGTGCTGAGGCAAGACCAAGTAAACCTAGACCATCCCTGACAGGTGTTTGTCCATCTGTTCTTAAAACCCTCCAATGGCGAGGAATCCACAAACTCCCTTCGGAAGCCTATTCGAGAGCTTAACTACACTTAGAGGTAGAACGTTTTTCCTAATATTTAAACTAAGACTCCCTGGCTGCAGATTAAGTCCATTACTTATTGGCCTACTTTTAGTGGGCGTGGAGAACACTGAATCACCATCCTCTTCATCAGCCCTTAACAGATTTGAAGACTATTATCAGGTCCCCCCCCCCCCCCCCCTCCCCGAGTCTTCTTTCCTCAAGACTAAACATGCACAGGGTTTGTAATCTTTTCTCCTCTGGACCCTCTCCAATTTATTCACATCTTTCCTAAAGTACTCCAGCTGAGACCCCACCAATGCCGAGTAGAGCAGGACAATTCCCTCCCATGTCTTACATACGACACTCCTGTTACTACACCCCAGACTGATATTAGCCCTTTTGGCAACCGCATCACATTGTTGGTTCATATTCAATTTGTGACCCACTATAATGCCCCGATCCTTTTTCAGCTACCACCACCTAGCCGGTTAGTCTCTATTTTGTAACTCTGCATTACCTGGCACTTGTCTTTATTTAATTTCATCTTGTTGATTACAGATCGATTCTCTAAAGTGTCACGGTTGTTATGAATTCTAATTCTATCATCCAAAGTGCTTGCAATCCCTCTCTGCTTGATGTCCTACACAAATTTAATAAGCACACTCTACACTCCCTTATTCAAGTCATTAATGAAATTATTGAATAATATTAGATTCAGGACCCCTGTGGGACCCCCCCAGATATCCCCCCCCCCCCCACATGACAGCAAACCATTAACAACTACACTTTGACTGCTTTTTCCAACCAGCTGTGTACCACCTTATGGTAATTTCATCTAGAGCACATTTCCCTAGTTTACGTCTGACTGTGTCAAAAGCCTTACTAAAAGTCCACTATATCACATCTACTGCTTCCCCTATCGACTAAGCCAGTAACTCCATCAAAAAAAGAAATGTGGATGGTTTGGCAGGATTTGTTCTTGACAAAGCCATGTTGGCTATTCCGTCTAACCCTGGTATCCTCCAGGTGTTTACACACTGATTGTGTAATCATTTGTTCCAGTATCTTTCCAGATGTTGAAGCCACCATATCAAAGTACCCTAGATGTACTCATTATTACTATGTAGGGTGCCTGGTTAAGGAGAAGACAAGCCTCGGAGCACCTGAGGAGATGGGTTTCCAGGAGGCTCTCTCCTGGGAAGGAAGGGATCTCCCCTTAAAGAACGCCCTCATTTTTTTTGTAGGAGTGTCTCGCCTCAGGGGAAGATCTACCTTGAAACTGGGTGGAGGTTCCCTTGAAGCTGGGGAATTCCCTCTCTCTGGGGAGCTGACAGGAGGGAGACACCACTAAGGGTGGGGCTGATTTGGCTGAAATGGGGTGTGTCCAAGGGGTCTCAGGCCTGAGGAGTCCCACCAATTGGGGTCGGAGTCAATCCAGGGGATATTGAGAAGGGGCTGGGGGGTGGGGAGAAGAGAATATGTCAGTCCTCTCCTCTCTCAACAATGCCCGGAGGAGGCTGGTCTCTGCAATGGGCTGAGCCCTGCACGGCTGGAGGGATCCTGACTGAGGGGGGCACGTCCTTGGGGCCAAGTCCCAACAAGCGCAGGGTCCCTAAGGTGAAGACCCTGGGTGGGGGGCACAGTGTTCCTGGGGTGGGCGGGGGATTCTTGGCGCCGGGCCCCAGTGCACGGGGGCTGAACCCCACACGGGCCTGGTCGCCGCA